GGGAGGACAAATATCTTAACTTCTAAAGTCTCCAACTTTAATGCTTAATAATTCGATTCACGAGGCCGACCGTCGCATTTTTTTACCAGAATTTTTTGTTTTGAATGAAAACGCGTCGAATGAGTATATTGAGATTTTAGGTGAGATAGGAGGGGATGGAGGGCTATTCTAATAGCGTTTTCGACCCAAGCGGATTTGCTCCTATTTGGATTAGATAATATTCTACTATTGATTGACATTACATATTCCATCAATACAACGTCATTAAACTAACCTAGGTTGATGCAAATCTGCTCGGGCCGAATACGCTATAAATAATTACCATTCATTACTTTAAAAACACAAATTCATTGGATAATTATACTCACTGGATAATTATAATTAGAATAACTACCTCATCTCCGATTTTAATGAAATTAGGCTTATTCGAAAAGTTTTCACTCAAAACGAAAGAATCGGTAGAAAAACGCGGTCTGGCGAACTGAGATATTAAACGTTATAATTTTTTTTTTCTTCGGAGTGTCTCTCGGATGAGGGAAAGGAAAATGGCGCCCTCAATTCTAATCAAAACGTTATCGTTGATGACGATATTGAGGTTAGGAAATCTGTCACATAATTATAAATAATGCAGCGCTAATTATATGTACTTTGGTCAGTATTTATTTAAAATTGCTATCTCACTTACGACTTTAATGAAATTAGGCTCATTCGATGCGTTTTCATTGAAAAAAAAGCTCTACTCCTTATGCGCAAAAAATTATAAACTTGTGTGAAATCGCTTCGCTCATAGGTTTATAACTTTCTATGGTGGAAGGATTACATAGTGTGCCTTCCAACAAGCGACACGAAGATCATGTCATCTTTGTTTAACATTGGCAAACTACAAGGTGATCCATTTGTCATTTGTGTCGCTATGGATGTGCTCAGTTTGCAAGCATCTCTCTCTCTCTCTCTCTCTCTCTCTAAAATTAGTAGCTCTCTGTCGTTTCTCTGCTTCTTGTTCCGCAAGGCCTATAACTACGAAACGCGAAATACGGGACGGTATTCGTAGTCCATTTTTATTTTAAAACCATCTTATTCATTAGACATTATGTGTGGTTTACAATGGCAGTATTAGTAATGGATGAGGTTGTAAGAGTAAGGGGCTCCACATAATAAAAGGAACAGAGAATAGAGAATAAGAATTTTAACCTATTTAGAAATTGTATATTTCACAATACATAATTTACTCTGCTATTACCCATTATAGAATAGGTTTTATAGCCTCATTCATTACTGATACTGCCATTGTAGACTACGCATAATGCATGATTTGCAATGGATAGTAGCAGTAGTGGATTAAAGAATAGGCGTAGAAATCGACCAATCATAGTTGAATGTGAGAAAAATAATCAAATATGATTGGTCGATTTCTACACTTACTCCTTAATCAACTATTTATTACCCATTGTAGACCATTAAGATGTTAATATAGTTCTCGGACTTACGATATCTTAAGATTGACTTAAGACAGTCGTAAATGTAAGAATCGACTATAAATATCGACCTGTTTCGCGTTATGAAGTTAATACAGAATCTCCTCGTGCAAGAAAAGATTCAGTATTCATAGTTCTTACATTTAAAACTGTCTTAAGTCAATCTTAAGATGTCATAAGTCATTCCCAGGACTGTATTAACATCTTAAAACATTTTATTTAAGATGGTTTTAAAATAAAAACGGACTATGAATACCCGTCCCATGTTTTGCGTTTCACGATTGATAGATTGCGCACTTAGAGCGATTATATGGAAAGTACGCAGTACAGTAACTAACTAGGCAACTAGGAAACCGCGTATCACGTACCGCTTATTTCTTTCGCTGATATTACATGGAGCACGGTTTGAGCGCAGTTTGCAACACAGGCTAGTGACAAACTTACATTAGTATGAATTTTTTTAAATATATTATTTTTATGCACACTTGATCGATATTCTTATTTTTTTTAACAGATTTACTTAATAACTGGATTTTACATCCGTATCTACAAACAGTTATGTCGCGTCTTATAACTCTTAATTTTGTTTCATTATATGGAATAGTCTAATAGAACATGTACGAACGTATAGAAACATTTCAATCTTGACAGTCATTAAACTTAATAATTTAATGACCAAGATTAGCTCGGATATCGCAGGTTTTTATACGTTTTATATTTTATACATTTTATATTAATAGTTTATACTCGCTATCGGCTGTGGTCAAAATCTCGCTACAAATGTTTTGAAACATTTGATGATACAATTAGAAGAAAGAATTTTACAAATTGACAAATTAAAAAACGCTTCAAAGCGTTGCAACATCGCGTTGACCGTATCCATCATCATGTAATTAATAGTTTAAGTAAAAATTTCTTTGTACTGAAGAGATACTGAGAGCACCTTAACCTTAAATCAAAACGTATACGTTTTAATATTCACTTTGAATATATAAAAATACAAACTAATAACCAGTGTTGGCTCAAATTGGCATTTTATTTATTATTATTTTTTAATAACTGTGTTTAAATTAATTAAAAAGTGTATAGCAATGTATAGTAATATGAGTTTGTTATTAGTCTGTGCCGCAAACTGCGCTCTATATAATACCAGCGAAAGAAATAGGCGTGGTACGCGGTAACTTAGTTGCTTAGTTACTGTATCGCGTACCGTGCTCCATGTAATCGTACTCTTAGGCCGGGTTCACATCTTGACGGAAAAACGGAAAGCGGAAAAGCGGAAACCAATCAGAATTCGCGGAAAGACAGAAGCAGACAAATGTATCGCGTACTACTATTACGAGTTCCGATTAGCTTCCGTTTTATCGCTTTCCGCTTTTCCGTCAAGGTGTGAATCTGACTTTAAACTACTTTTTCATGCTGACGCTCGATTCATTTTTAGTGTCAAAACAAGTCACATATCAAAATTGATGCTTATTCGTCAATTTTGGTCACGTGATCTATTTTGACGCTTGAATCGAACGTCAGCATGAAAATGCAGCCTTAGAATCGACGCGGAGTAAAAGTAGGCGTGGTTAGGCCAAACCATGATGAGCACATCATGTAAGGAGCACATCATGTAAGCTCCGCACAATAAAGGGAACAGGGAACAGAGAACAGAGAATAAGAATTTCAACTTATCAGGAATCATGAATTGTGGAATACAGTTTCTGATAGATTGAAATTTTTACACTCATATTCATAGTCCTTCCTTATTTTAAGGAAGCCTCCACAAAGGATTCTCCAAGGCCTTCTTGTTTCATAAACGGATCTCAAGTCTTCTAGAAGGAAGGAATATTTAAGAGATTTTAGTAACCTACTGAAGGTAGCATGTCATAATATATGGTATATATAGCATACCTAATATCGTGAATTATGAATAATAAAGATTATAAAAGCATTGTTGATTAAATAAGGTCATGATTAAGTATTTTTGCAACAATAATGGACAAAAATAAAATTAATAGCGAATTTGATTGGACGCACTTATTGAGCACTGATGCACATTAAAACCGCCATACACAAAATAACGTAATAAATATAAATTTTTAGAGTTTTTTTCCGAAAAAAAGCTATCAAAAATAATTATTGATGCGTCAGATTTACATTAAAAGCTGTCAGAAGTAAAAAGACCGACGAATTAAATTTGAAGATTTGTTTGGTTATGAAGGTTATCCTCCTCTTAACCTAGTTTATTAAAAGGAAGTTAATAAGGCTCCTTGTTTGATTAAGATTTATGAAATATGAAATGAACAAGGAATCCTCATCCTTCCTCTAAAAGGAAGGACTATGAATACAGGTATTATTCTCTGTTCTTTGTTTTCTGTTCCTTTTATTGTGCAGAGCCCCTAATCCTTCTACCATGTCATATTATAGTTAAACTATGATCATGCTTTCTATGCGAAGCCAGGGTATTAATAATGAAACTTTATCCCTAGAATGAAAAGTGAAAAGTGAAAATTTTTACCATTGAAATTAATGAAGAAATTTTTCACTTTTCACTTTCCATCCTAGGGATAAAGTTTCATGATTGATATCCAGGGCACTGTATATAAGAGGTTTGCTTGCGTCACCGAAATCAATATGACGATTAGATGTTCGCGTCGCATTAGAGCATACTCCATGGATCAATTAAGAGCACGCTCCATTTGTTTCACTTCAGAAGGTGATACGATTGGGGCATATAACGCACGCATGCGTAATGATTGAAAACGTTTTATATTGAAAC